TGGTTGTGATATAGTGTATAATTTTCATTTCAGGTTTATGACTCCACTCTACCAACACATCCTAGCCTTAGAGTTTGCAATCAAGGAGATCAATGAGAATCCCCATATTTTACCCAATTATACCCTAGGCTTCCATATCTATAACTCGTATTTCTCTCCAGGTTGGACTTTCCGTGCCTCATTGGAACTCTTTTCTACACAAATCAGATTTATCCCTAACTACAATTGTGAAATTCAAAACAGACCAACAGCAGTCATTGGAGGCCCAACTTCTGAAGTGTCTCTGCATATGGCTACAATTTTGTCATTGTACAAGATGCCACAGGTACTGTAAAATGTTTATGAAGTAGGTGACACAGGAATGAAAAATATTATGATTGGCATAAAGGCTTTTGGAAACTGTAAAATATTTGTCCTGCAGCATTTTGAAGTATGCTGAAGGGACACGGTGGTTCAGTGGCTAAGATGCTGAGCTTGTCGATCGAAAGGTTGGCAGTTCAGCGGTTCGAATCCCTAGTGCCATGTAATGGGGTGAGCTCCTGTTACTTCTCCCAGCTTCTGCCAACCTAGCAGTCTGAAAGCACATAAAAAATGCAAGTAGAAAAATAGGGACCACCTTTGGTGGGAAGGTAACAGTGTTCTGTGCACCTTTGGCATTTAGTCATGCTGGCCACTTGACCACGGAGATGTCTTCGGACAGCGCTGGCTCTTCGATTTTGAAATGGAGAGGAACACTGCCACCTAGAGTCGGGAACCACTAGTGCATATGTGCGAGGGGAATCTTTACCTTTACCTTATGTTGAAGTAACAGAGTAGAAGATTAATGATTTGATCTGACCCTTTTATTTTGGTTTATGGTCTTATACAAACTTAAAAAGAGATGCCAAATAGATGGACAGAATCCTTTTTGTTATTATTATGGTTCATTACACAGTCAGCCAAATGTTCAGACTGGGTTTGGCATTTTTGTTTACCTATCAATTTTTTTCTAAGGAGGAGGAGGAGGATGATGATGATGATGATGATGATGATGATGATGATGATGATGATGATTTCACAGCACTGCATTTTTATCTGGACAGGATATATTTGAATTATTAACACTGAATGCTGGAACTGTTCTCAGACAGTGTTAAAAATAGAAATTGAGCTTTGGTGATAAATGAATCTCCCTACCCGCCCTCTCCCTCCCTCTTTTTCCATCCCTCCCTCTCTTTCTTTCTCTCCTCTTTTTATATGTGTATGTAAAAATAGATGCTGATATGCAATCCTGATTTTTTAAAATTATTTTGTATGAAAAAGTTTTTTTGCAAAGTAAAAGCAATATAAATTTAAAGATGAAAGATCAAGTAATACAAAAATGATAAGTAAACAGGAATGAAATGAGAGAAAAGAGACAACAATTTAAAAAAAAAACCTTATATAAGTGGTTTTCAATCTTCCTTACAGCAGTTATAAATGTTGCATATATTTTGTCCTCTGTCTCACTAAGATGACATGAATATTCAATCATAGTCTGTCAAAGTAACTAGAACTGAAAATGACAATAAAGAAGATTCTGTCAAATACCTCATTTTGAGATAATGGCACAGTAAACCCCTGCAATAGGAATTATCTAATTATCTAAATTCTGCTTCATTAATATGGGAAGTCTTAATTCCATGAGATGTAAACTCATGCAAATGCTTGGAAAAGCTGATCAATCACTGGTAAGAAAGATCAGTTTTGCTAATGCAGCTGTTATCCCCTCTTTATGTGCTTTAAAATGACATATCTACTCATTCCATTTCTTCAAGACCTATTCATTCAGAGGATCATGGGGAAATACTGCATCTTTTTAGTCCATGAAGGCTTCCTCAATACGAACATGAAATATAACTGGATTCAAAATTTGAAATATCAATTGCAACTTAATTTTTAATTTGGAGCTACAGTGTTGAAAGATAGTGAAAGTCACTATCAACATTCTATCTGAAAATATATATATATATATATTTATTTCTTCATTATTTCTAGATCATATATGGGTTTGTTCCAGAAACAGATGTCAAAAATCAGAATGCTTTCTACCAACAGATTTTCCCAAATGCAGAACATCAGTACCTGGGTATAATCAAATTATTGCTTCATTTCAAATGGACATGGATTGGTGCATATACTGTAAATAATGAGAATGGGCAGAGGTTTGTGCAAAATGTAGTTCCCATGTTTGCCAAGAGAGGCATCTGCTTTGCCTTTATTGAAAAATTTCCCAAAAGTTCTTATTCCAATAGTCTGGTTGAATCGCTGGAAGAAGGAAGTAAAGTATATTATGGAGTTATGAGAAGCACTGTTAATATTGTGGTTCTTCATGGTGAAACTGATCACATAATACTTCTACGAATACTTTCCAACAGGTTGAAAGATGAGAACGTACCGCTATGGAACAAAGATAAAGTCTGGATTATGACAGCCCAAATGGATTTCACATCAGTTCCCTTTATAAGAAATATTGACCTAGTCTTTCTCCATGGCGCTTTATCCTTTGCAATTCATTCAGAGAAGATTTTAGGATTCCAGAAATTTCTTCAGTCAAAAGACCCTACTTTGGAAAAAGAAGGTGGCCTTTTCAGGGTCTTCTGGAAAAATGCATTTGAATGTTCATTCCGCATCAACAGGGTTGAAGAGGAAGATGAGGTCCTCTGCAATGGACAGGAGAAACTGGAGACCCTTCCTACATCTGTGTTTGAAATGCAGATGACTGGCCACAGCTATAGCATCTATAACGCAGCCCATGTGGTGGCACATGCTTTGCATGACTTCCATTCATCTGTAAGAAAGTACAGAGCAGGTGACCAGGAAACCAAACTGAACTTTCTGAAGCAACCATTATGGAAGGTAATGTCCTAGCCTACACTAGGGTGAGTTCACCATATCTGTAGTGATAGTTGGTGGGAGCCCTGTTGTGAAAGTATGCTACATATAATTTTCTTTTTTAGAATTTAATCTTATATGGCTGTTCCTTCCATCGTTGTATCCGATAAGAATTTTAAAATATAATTTCAATATATTATTATCAGTGGTGGGATTCAACCAGTGTAACAACCGGTTCGCTGAGTGGGCGCCAAACACGTGTTCCGCACAGGCTCAGTGCATTTCAAAACAGCTCTAAAACTTACCTTCTACTGCAGCTCCGACGAGTAAAATATCTGAGACATGGCAATTCGCTCTGCCGCACCTATCAGCTGGGCTTCAAACAAAGGAAATATAGGTCAGTATAGCACAGGGGTGGGCAGGTGGGCCCACCTGATCATTGGAGTGAACTAGCTCACTCTCAGCTGATCGTCAGAGCTATTGGTTCACCTGAACCAGTCCAAATAGGCTGAATCCCACCCCTGATTATCATGTTGCTTTTTCCACCTTTCAGTAGAATGAGAGGTATCATCAGCCAGGTCTCTACTGATGTTATCTCTGGTAAATTCAGACTCAAGTATTATGGAATTTGGAAGGGGACCAGGAACCCTATAGATTAGTCTTAAATCTCATAAGGGTTCATATGGTGCCATTTTTTTCATTCCATCATCTGAAAAGGAGAATTAAGTAGTATAAAGTTACAGAGTGGTCTAAAGTTAAATCTATGTATTCCTCACTGGGGGAAGAGTGGTTGTGCTTCTTTTTGTAAATACATGATCTCTCTCAAATCTCTTTCCCAGAGAAATGCAGACGGGGGGGGGGGGGAGAGAAGAAATGCAGAGAGAGTGGGGGAAGAAGAAGAAATGCAGAGAGAAGTGGGGAAGAAGAAGAAGAAGAAGAAGAAGAAGAAGAAGAAGAAGAAGAAGAAGAAGAAGAAGAAGAAGAAGAAGAAGAAGAAGAAGAAGAAGAAGAAGAAGAAATAATAATATAATTCACACAACATATCCTCCAGGCAAAGATATCAACTTCATACTAATTTAAAAAATGATTATGTGAAAACATCTCAGATACGACTCTCATCACACAGATTTTGTCCTTGGAAAAATCGTCTTGGTTACTTTAAAGACATGGGAATAGACACATCTATTCTGTCCACACAAAAGTGAAAGATTATTTCTGAATTACAGGTTCATGAGGCAAAAAGAAACTCTTATGACTCCTTGATATTTTTTTTACTATTGTTTTTAAACTGTGGTCAGTTAATAGGCCCTTATTTTCTAGGGATTATTTTTAAATGGAAAAAGCAGGAATCACAAAGTAGTAATAGATAATGTGCTGTGAAGCAACAGAATAGAACTGTTCACTTTGCTGAGTAATCAGAACTGAGTTTCTTTTGAAAGGCTAATATGAAAATCTTATTTTTGTAATTAGAATTTTTTTTTTTTGTAATTAGAACTACCATTTTTGCAATTTCTATCACTTCACCATCATAGAATTGTTCTGTTTGATATCTTTATCCTGTTTAAAATAGATTGAAATTCATACATTTTATTATCTATTTTCTGTTGAGTGGTGTGGTGGCCTAGAGGTGGAGCTCTCTCCTCACATTCAGGATGCTGTAAGTTCGATCCTAGGTAGAGGCAGATATTTCTCTCTCTGGGCATGATGAGAATATATCTGCTGCATATAACTCCGCATTGGTGACAGGAAGGGCATCCAGCCAGTAATCACTCAGCTCCATTCAATTGCCCAGTCTGCACCTTGCAAGGGATTATGGGGTCATTAAAATATGTTGATTATCTATTTTCTGTTATTTCTTTGTATTTCCTTTAAATGTTTTATTCCATATTTTGTTTTCTGGATGCATAATAATCATGATAATGGTCTATTGGGCAATGGTAAGTATTAATTAATGACACTATAATATCACCAACTGTCCTACATAAACCATTTGAAAAGTTTGTTATTTATACATTTCCAAGTATTCTTCATTCTGATAAATAATTTTTGACTTTTCTTCTTTTCCAATTTAGCTCAACCATTTTGTGAGAAGTGTCTCATTTAACAACAGTGCGGGGGAAAAGTTTCTTTCAACCAAAATGGAGAGTTAGAAACTGGATTTGATATTATGAACTGGATCACCTTTTCAAATCTGTCTTTCCTGAGAATCAGAGTTGGGAAGACGGACCCTATTGGTTCCGAAGGGAAAATGCTAACCATTGATGATGCTATTGTATGGCCACATAACTTTCATCAGGTATCCTTGATTCATCTTTTGTTGCCTATGTTCAATCATCATTTCACTCTTTTGAAAACTATCTTGGAAGCCAGGTTGACATTCAGAAACAGAGTGCTACACTTGTCCCTGAATATTGGCATAGCTAATCATTTCCATTAGAGATCCAATGGGGGGATACTAGGATTAATAAATGTGTCAAGAGGGGTATTAGAGATATCAGGAAACAACATAGTTTTGTTGACTCAGATCTCAAAATGAAAGGTTTCCCTTCATTTAAAACATTTTAAATGAAGAAAGCCACATCAAAATGCAAAACGAAAGATGTGTCAATGAACAGTTGGCCAATCTGACTTCTTATGAAGTAATCTTTGGGTGAGGGAGATTAATATTTTGATCTATCTACCCTTTGAGACAAAAACACTTATCTCCCCTTTACAAGTCTTCATCAATATTTCTGTTTTTTCTTTCTTTTTCCTGCCTGTTGCTACTATTGCAAGCTCTGTCCTATTGAAACAAGTTTGCCAAATATTATATTGGAACTAACTCAGTGGTGGGATTCAGCTGGTTCTGTCCAGTTTGGGTGAACCGATAGCGCCAACTGTGGTAGGCCCCGCCCACCTGCCATGATGTAATGATGTCCTATCTAGCCACATTTTGTAGGCTGTGAGCACGCGCGGAAGGCCAAGCATGCGTGGAAGGTGGCGCTTGCGAGCGAAGCTAGTGCACTCACGCACCCACATGCTCACATTTGCGAACTGGTAGGGAAGGTAAGTGAATCCCACCTCTGAACTAACTGTCCAAAAAGGGATTTTCACAGAAAATACCAATGAAGGAAGAAAAAAAACTTCAGCCAGTTTGCACTGAATAGAAAAAGGAGTAACATCTCAAAGACATCAATGGAAATTAGAATTATTATTTTTAAAACCTATATGATTTTTATTAAAATATTCAGAATGAAAGATGAAATAATATAAAGCTAATATGTAAAGAAGTGACCTTATATTTTTACCACAGTTACATATATATATATATATTTTCCCTCATGAAAATTATATTATTTTGCATTAAAGGTCTGAGTTTATTGTTGAGATTCACATAATAACAGAGTTGGAAGGGACCTTGGAGGTCTTCTAGTCCAACTCCCTGCCCAGGCAGGAAACCCTACACCACTTCAGATAAATGGTTATCCAACATCTTCTTAAAAATTTCCAGTGTTGGAGCATTCACAACTTCTAGAGGCAAGTTGTTCCACTGGTTAATTGTTCTAACTGTCAGGAAATTTCTCCTTAGTTCTAAGTTGCTTCTCTTCTTGATTAGTTTTCACCCATTGCTTCTTGATCTATCCTCAGGTGCTTTGGAGAATAGCTTGACTCCCTCTTCTTTGTGGCAGTCCCTGAGATATTGGAACACTGCTATCATGTCACTCCTAGTCCTTCTTTTCATTAAACTAGACATACCCAGTTCCTGCAACTATTCTTCATGTGTTTTAGCCTCCAGTCACCTAATCATCTTTGTTGCTTTTCTCTGCACTCTTTCTAGAGTCGCAACATCTTTTTTACATTTTATTAAAATATTCAGAAATAAAAGATAAAATTTATTTATTTATTTTATTTATAATTTAATTTCTATACCGCCCTCCTCCTGAAGGACTCGGGGCGGTGTACAGTCAATTAAAACATAATATATATACATTGATTTAAAAACCAATTAAAAGTAATAAATAATTTTGGCTCAGAATTAAAACCTAATTAAAACACCCAATTTAAAATCATTCACAAAGATAGCCCAGCCTGGTGGAACAGTAGGGTTTTAAGAGTGCAGCAAAATACACGGAGATCAGAAATCTTACATATTTCCAGGGGCAGTTCATTCCAAAGGGCAGGAGCACCCACAGAGAAGGCCCTCCCCATGGGTGTCGCCAGCTGACATAACTTGGCCGAAGGCACCCTGAGGAGACCCTCTTTGTGGGAGCGAACTGGCCAGTGGGAGGCTACTGGAGGTAGAAGTCGGTCTTGGAGGTACCCAGGCCCTAAGCCATGGAGCGCTGTAAAGGTGGTAACCAACACCTTGAATCACACCCGGAAGACCACTGAGAGCAAGTGCAGCTCGCGCAGGAGAGGTGTTACATGGGAGCAACCAATTGTGCCCATAACTACCCGCGCGGCCACATTCTGGACCAGTTGGAGCCTCTGAGTGCTCTTCAAGGGGAGCCCCATATAGAGAGCATTACAGTAGTCCAGCCGGGAGGTGACAAGGGCATGACTGACCGTGCGCAAGGCGTCCCGATCCAGAAAGGGCTGCAACTGGCGGATCAGGCGACCCTAATAAAAAGCCCTCCTGGCCACGGCCATCATATGCTCTTCTAAAGACAGTCGTGCATCCAGGAGGACGCCCAGATTGCGAGCCCTCTCTGTGGAGGGCAGAGATTCACCCCCAATAGTCAGCAATGGTGCCAGCTGACTATATCGGGGCGCTGGAAGCCACAGACACTCGGTCTTGGAAGGGTTGAGTCTGAGCCTATTTATCCCCATCCAGACCCGCACAGCCTCCAGGCAGTGGGACATCACGTCAAGGGCATCGTTGGGGTGGTCTGGGGTGAAGATGTACAGCTGAGTGTCATCAGCATACTGATGGACTCTCACCCCAAAACCATGGATGATCTCACCCAGCAGCTTCACATAAATGTTGAACAGAAGGGGCAAGAGGACTGACCTTGTGGCACCCCCCAATCGAGGCGTCTCGAGGTCGACCTCTGCGAGCAGTCGGAGAGGGAGGAGGAGAACCACCATAGCACGGTGCCTCCTATTCCCACCCCCTCAACTGCTGCAGCATGATACCATGGTCGATGGTATCAAAAGCTGCTGAGAGATCTAATAGGACCAGGACAGAGGAGCAACCCCTGTCCCGAGCCCTCCAGAGATCATCCACCAACGCGACCAATGCCGTTTCCATGCTGTACCCCTGCCTGAAGCCCAACTACTCCTCCAATATTTATCATATCTTAATATTATCATTTCATTTGTTGTAACATTTTCCCCACATTTACTTTTATATTTGTACCTTTATCTATTCAACAATTTTATCCCAACCCAACCCTCCCCCCTCCCCACCCCCCACCCCCCCGACTTCCCAGAGCAAAAACAGGGTATAACATGCAAAAGCTAAAATATACTAACCTACTACAAAGTTTAAAATTCCCTCACACTCTTTAACTCCTCTTTTACAAATTCATGAATCTCCCTTTTGTAAATTCTCAAGATCAATTGGGTTAAATTCTTTCTTCCTGAATATAAAAGCCTTTTTCTTGGTATATAATCCAGTAACTTTACCAGTATTACAAGCATTAACAAACACTGATAAGTTTCATTTTCATCCCTCAAACACCTTTCTTTTTCAACATAGCTCCCTAATAAGATTCTAAATTAAACATTTATCTTCTTTATTCCTTCATAAACCAATTATCAATTTCTAACTATTCAGCATTAAAAATTCTAAATGAAACATTTTAAAACTTTAAACATTTTATCACCTATACCTTTTAAAATAATATAATCTTATATTAAACATTTTAAAAACCTCTTAATGCATCAATAAGACCTTCTTAATTCATTTCTCAAAATATAAATTCCAAAACCTTCAGGAAACTATCCATTAAATTTTTAATAACCATTTCTATATTTTTTCCAGTGCTTCTTCCTCAATCAACATTGCTCCCTAATAAAGTTCTTAATTAGACATTTATCCTCTTTAATCCTTCATAAAATTAAACATTTTAAACATTTTTTTTAAAATTTGATTTATATGCCGCCCTTCTCCGGAGACTCAGGGTGGCTTACAATCCGTTAAGCAATAGCCTTCATACTTTTGTATATTTATACAAAGTCAGCTTATTTCCCCCACAAACTGGGTCCTCATTTAACCTACCTTAGAAAGGATGGAAGGCTGACCCTGGTAAGATTCAAACCTGCAGTAATTGCAGGCAGCTGTGTTAATAACAGGGTGCTTTAAACCACTGTACTACCAAGGCTCTTTTTATCTCATATACCTTCTTAAAATATTATAATCTTATATTAAACATTTTAAAAATCTCTGAATACATCAATAAGACATTAAGTCATTTCTCAAAATATAAATTTCAAGCCCTTCAGAAAAATATCCCTCAAATTTTTAATTAGCCATTTTAATACCTCGATCTTAAAAAGCTATCATTTTTACCTCAATAACTCTTAAAAAGCTATCATTTTTATATCCAAAACCAATTGTAATAACACACTATATTATTATCTTAGAATAAACTTTAAAAATACAAATTTAATTAAGCTTCTCAACCTATAGCCAAAATCCTCCCCCCCAAAAAAATAAATCAATTCTTCAATTCTTCCCTTCTTTCTGTATTTTTGCAGTCCTTTTTCTTTGATAATTCTTTCTTCTTCAGCATTGCTCCTCCTCCTGCTTTTATTTTCGAAAATTTTAAAATTTGGATTTGAGGTTGATGTCTCTTTGAAAGTTTTTGTAAAGTTATTTTCAATAATACTTTCTCCTTCAGCATTGCTCCTCCCCCTGCTTTTATTTTCGAAAATTTTTGGATGTAGATTTGAGACTGATGCATCTTTGAAGATCGCTCTCTCCTAAAAGTTATCTCCTTCATTTTGAAACCTCCATTTCGACTCTTCCTGCTTATATAATCAGTCACTTCCTCTCTTAAAAGTTGATTCTGTCTGTAAAACCAAGAATTGTCGCGATAAAGTTTATCAGTCTTCAGGAAAGAGTCTATTTGCTGCTTTTCAATTAACTGCGTAGAAGCCTCTGCCAAAACTTCTGTTTTCAATGTGGTAACTTCCATTGTGTCCCTGACAGACTCTTTTCCCTGCTCCAAAGATAAATTAATTTGATTTCCTTCCTCTTTTCCAGCCAGCAAATCATTTTTGTTCTCCAGATTATAATTTTGAAAAGTCCTTTCAATTGATTCCAGTATAGCAGAAGTATAGAAATTTAAAAGTTCTTGTAAAACCTCTACAGTCACAACTTGTGAATTTGCTGGCTCATATAGTAATGATCCTCCATCCTTGATGTCAGCCATATTTCAATTCCCAGTTTAAGTTTGTTCAGCTATCAGGTCAATAAATCCAATAATTTTTCACTCAATTTAGAGGTATAAAGTAGTTGTCAATACCATAGTCTTTTTCATTTCACTAGCACTTTAAATCTTTTTCTTGCTGCGTAATCTGGTAGCTTTTACAATGTTGCAGCTTTAAAGATCACTTTCACTTGTAAGTTTTGTTTTAAACGCCCTTAAGCACCATCTTTTTTTCCTTTTTCTTTCAAACGGAGTTAAAGTTTAATACTTGCATTTTTTGTTCTCCTGATTTGCTCTGCCAGCATCCAGGTTCGAATTTTAGTCCTTAAAATTGCGCTGCTGCTGTGGTCGCGACCCCTTGTTCTGCTTAAAGCTGAATCATCCCGGATCTGGAGCACTGAAGGGCTTTCAGGGAGCTCTCACCTTGCAAACCCCAGGCTTAAAAAAAAAAGCCTGGGGGTCTAGGGGAGCTCTACCCAGACCCTTCTGCTTTTCTCTCCACCTTTTTCCCTGGGGGAGAGTTTTGAGCTGCTAGAACAGCTGATTTTTGCTGTTCTAGCGGCAAACGGAATTGCGGGGCTGGAGCTCCTAAAGGAGCGTCCATTCGGGAAACGCGGAGCCACCGGAAGTCAGGGATGGCTTCTTGAGGAGGGGCCTCACCACCGCCTCTTTCAAAGTGGTGGGAAAGGCACCCTCACTCAAAGGAGCATTTATAATCCCCTGGAGCCAGCCTCGTGTAACCTCCTGGGAGGCCAGTACCAACCAGGAGGGACACGGGTGCAATAAACATGTGGCAGCACTAATCCTGCCCAGAATCCTGTCCACATCCTCGGGAGTCACAGGATTAAACCCTTCCCAGATAACATTCTCAAGACCTGCCCCGGTCTCCTCCCCTGGACTCACCCAGTCGGAGTCCAGGCCTTCCCAAATCTGAGCGACTTTATTATGCAGGAATTGTACAAAATCCTCAGCTCGACCCTGCAAGGGATCTTCCTGCACTTCCCCCGAAGAAGGGAGTGGTAACCCTAAACAGAGTGGCTGGGCAATTCTCTGCAGATGCAATAAGAGCAGAAAAATAGTTAGATTTTGCCGCTTTTATCACCACCAGGTGATAGGTCTTGATATACACCCTCACCAGTGTTTGGTCAGAATCGGATTGACTAGTCCTCCAAATGCTCTCTAGGCGTCTTTTCCGATGCTTCAGCTCTCTCAGCTCCTCAGAGAACCATGGTGCTAATTGAGATCGGCATCGGGTCAGAGGCCGCAAAGGCATGATGCGGTCCAAGGCCCCGGCAGCCGCACTATCCCAGGTGGCCACCAGGTCTTCTCTTGGCATTTAGTTATGCCGGCCACATGACCATGGAGATGTCTTCAGACAGTGCTGGCTCTTCGGCTTTGAAACGGAGATGAGAGTCAGGAACGACTAGCACATATGTGTGAGGGGAACGTTTACCTTTTTAATATATTGGTACCAGATACAAACTTCTCCAAAGCAAATCATTCTATTTTATCTTTTATGAGCAGGTCCAGCCACTTTCTCTGTGTAATGGGAAGTGCCATTTAGGTTACAGTAAGAGCAAGATAGAAGGGAAGGCATTTTGTTGCTATAATTGTCATAAATGTCCACAAGGCAAAATCTCCAACCAGGAGGGTAAGATATAATTTCTTTTCTTTTTTTTACTTAAAATATATTTAATTCAATCTGTGAGTAAAGAATGTGCCTGAAGAATGTTTAGAAAATTGTGCAAAAGATTAAGTAGTCGACATAGCAAATTGAACATGGATACAAACAAATAAATTGCCAAGATTTTTATTACAAGTAGTACATCAGTGGTGGGATTCTACCAGTTTGGACCGGTTCAGGCAAAACGTTAGCTCCGACTATCAGCCATGAGCGAACCAGTTTGCTCCGATTTTGAAGTGGGCCCGCCTGCCTGTCCCTGCATTATACTCACCTATATTTCCGTTTCCAAAGCCCAGCTGATCGGTGCGACAGAGTGGATTGTTGTGCCTCAGCTGTTTTTCTTGCTGGCAGCAATGAGGAAGGTAAGTTTTCTCCAAACTGTGCATGCGCGCATAGCGCACGTCTGGTGTGCATGAGAGAGCAGTGAGAGAATGCACGCAAAGCATGCACTCAGCAAATCAGTTGTTAAACTGGTAGGATCCTATCCCTGTAGTACATCCCTGAACAAATACTTTTGCAATGCTGAAGTTATGGCAACTATACGAATGCATTTGATTTTCAGATATTAAAAGCTTTTTTTGAACATTGTATTATTGAATTCTGATTATTTTTATGTAATTTATAGAGTACTATTTTATTTTCTAGACTTGGATGACTGTTTTCAGTGTGCAGAAGATCAGTACCCCAGTGACAAGCAAGATATATGTCTCCCCAAAGTTATAACATTCTTGAAGTATGAAGAAACCTTGGGAACCATTTTCACCAGTTCAGCTCTTTTCTTTTCTTTGGTTACAGTTGGTGTCTTCTGGATCTTTATTAAGCATCAGGACACTCCCATTGTCAAAGCCAACAACAGGGATCTCACATACACTCTCCTTATGGTTCTTTTGTTATCATTTCTTTGTGTTTTTCTATTCATTGGGCAACCCAACAAAGTGACCTGTGTTTTTCGCCAAACTGCCTTTGGCATCATCTTCTCAGTGGCCATTTCTTGTATTTTGTCGAAAACCTTCATTGTGGTTCTAGCTTTCATAGCCACTAAACCAGGGTCCATGATGACCAAATGGATGGGGAAAAAATTAGCCATGTTCATAGTGTTAGGCTGCTCATTTATTCAAGAAATTATTTGTGCTATATGGCTGACAAGCTCTCCCCCATTCCCAGATGCTGACATGAATTCAATGGAGCAAGAAATAATTCTGGTGTGTAACGAGGGCTCAAACTCCTTTTTCTACTGTGTCTTGGGCCTTTTGGGCTTCCTTGCTTTAGTTAGTTTCACGGTGGCTTTCCTAGCAAGGAAATTGCCCGATGCCTTTAATGAAGCCAAATTTATAACCTTCAGCATGTTGGTCTTCTGCAGTGTGTGGTTGTCCTTTGTTCCAACATATCTGAGCACAAAAGGAAAATATATGGTTGCTGTAGAGATCTTCTCCATTATAGCTTCTAGTGCTGGGTTACTGATTTGCATATTTTTTCCCAAATGTTATATCATAGTTTTGAGGCCTGATATGAACAACAAAGATCAGCTAAGAAGACAAAATAACAGAATTGCATAAAATAGCATAAAGAGAAGCAATAGGTTATGTTACCTTTGGGAAAGTAGAAATACTCAATGACATAATTTAATATCACTTATCAAGAGGTAATCTCTTAGGAATTCTCCAGAATTATTTTCTTATGAGTTATAAGAAAAAAATATATAGCAATTCTTGTACAATTACTTTAATTGTGTTCAATTGAATATAAACTTTAGAAAGCTTTTCAGATACTTTACTACTTTTTGATATATATATATTGTTCTTTTATTCGTAGGATTATATGTGCAATACTTTTCTAGTCAGGGTTTTTCCTGCGTAAATCAAGATATTTGTATTGCCATAGTTGGGTGACATCTCAAATCACCACTTTCAGGCTTTATCAGACATTTTGTGTTGTCTGCTGTGAGACTTAAGGGAGACTGGGATAAATCTATTTCGGCCTTATAAGGCCTCTTCAGCCAGCCACACCCTTATTTTATGACTCCTCCCTGTAAAGGTCAAATATTTATTTTGTTCTTTTATTCGTAGGATTATATGTGCAATACTTTTCTAGTCAGGTTTTTCCTACGTAAATCAAGATGTTTGTATTGCCATAGTTGGGTGACATCTCAAATCACCACTTTCAGGCTTTATCAGACACAGGGAGGAGTCATAAAATAAGGGTGTGGCTGGCTGAAGAGGCCTTATAAGGTTGAAATAGATCTATCCCAGAGGAACAAAAAGCACTCATCAACTTGAGGAAAGACAATAACATAATCATTCTTCCAGCAAACAAATGCAATGCCATAGTGGTGATGAACACATCTGACTACCAAGCCAAACTATCCAACCTACTCCAAGACCCCACTTACAAACCTCTAAACACAGACCCCACCACCTACCTGGAAAAAACCACCAAATCCAAAAGAAAAGCCTCTCCCATCAGTGAAGAGATCCAGCAAAGACTCATCCCCAGAGAGAAATCATCCAGATGCTCCAAGCTCTATGGCCTCCCCAAGATACACAAAGAAAGAACACCACTCAGACCCATAGTCAGCTCCATAGGCTCACCTCTACAGAATCTTGCCAAATTTCTTGCCAAACAACTTTAGCCCTACGCAGAATCCATCAACTCATATGTACAAAACTCATTCCACTTCATAGAAACAATAAAGAAACAAAACTTACAACCCAGCGACCTACTTGTGAGCTTCGATGTCATATCCCTCTTCACCCGAGTGCCTATTAAAGAAGCCTTGACAGCAATCCAAAACAAATACAACCCCCCTAAACACATCCTAGATCTGACCAACCACTGCCTAACCAACACATACTTCATCCACAATGGACAAAGATACAAACAGATACAAACAGATAGAAGGAGCACCTATGGGATCACCCCTCTCACCCGTCATCGCAAACCTGTACATGAAACATCAGTGATCAGTGCCTGGAATGCACTAGCTGACTGTGGTTACATCCCCAAACCACCATAGCTTTAACTTTAAACTGTCTACCATGGACCTCACCCCATTCCTAAGAGATCTGTAAGGGGGTATGCATAAGCACACCAGCATGCCTACCATCCCTGTCCTACTGTTCCCATTTATTAGTAGTCATTTCTTACGTTTATACTTATACCTGTTTATACTTATATGTTTATATGTTATGTTTATACTTATACTTATTCTCTCATACATGCTTGACAAATAATAAGAAATAAGAAATAAAATAAAATAAAATAAAATGGGATGTCAAACAAAGAAATTAGCAATCTCCTTTGAACTAACATAAATCCATTTTGCTTTGAAAATCAACTAACTTTTTCCTCTCTTTGTACATAAGCAGAAAAGTTCTTTTTCTTTCTTAAATCCTCATCTCAGTAATTGCAGGCTTCTGGACCTCTTGCCATCCCACTGAAGAAGAACTGATGTTTACTGAGATCAAAAACATGTTTATTGTTCATGGTTTCCTAAAGCTTTAATTTCTATTGTCGACCTTTCCATTGTTATTAGCAATCCCCCATATCTCTGTTTCAACTTCATCTCCTAGTGGCAAAGGGATTGTTCTGCAGACCAGTGCAAGCAGAAATACTCTTAATGAGGCACAGCTTTGGGAAACATAAATTGGCTGACAGATTAAAACACATTTATTCACGATGATGATATTTTCAGCCTTGGTTTTAGTGCTTTTGCCTGAAATGATGAACATGATCCCCAGTGCTAAATGTAGGACTAGCGATCCTTTGCCTTTTGTTCACAAGCAATATCGGTCAGGAGACTTCATTGTTCTGGACATTCTCTCTCAGATCTCCATCTTCTATACAATGATAGACTTCAGAAAACATCCTTCTAAAGAACTCTTTGTGGACATTGTGTAAGGTTTTTTTTTTTTTTTTTTTACAAAAAGAAACAGAAATTTAATTTTAATTATGTTTAATTTGTTCTTTGATTAATGGCTCTTTTCTTCTCTTTATCTCTTGTTCTTTGACCTTCTCTTATATGATCTTCCTTCCTTCCTTCCTTCCTTCCTTCCCTCCTTCCTTCCTTCCTTCCTTCCTTCCTTCCTTCCTTCCTCCCTCCTCCCTCCCTCCCTCCCTCCCTCCCTCCCTTCTCATGCATTACATTTTCAAGAAAACAAATAGTACTGATGCAGCAAACATTTAAAGAATATAAAAAATATAGTAAGGGACAAGAGAGAAGCAATATTTATTAATTTTTTTATTTTTATTTATTTATTTTATTTTTATTTATTTTTATATGCTGCCCTTCTCCGGAGACTCAGGGCGGCTTACAATGCATTAAGCAATAGCCTTCATACTTTTGTATATATAAGCAACAGAAGAGTGTAGTAAAAAATACTCAAATTGCAAATAACCAGTAGTTCTAATATATCACAGGGTTAATATTTTCTAACAGAGGCAGTTTAGTGTAATGTTCAGGTTTGGAAAAGTTGAGACCATGTTGTCTAGTTGCATATTAAACATGAAGACAGCTAGGTGCTCTTGATCCAATCCCTCTGTCTCAGTTCTAAGAAGCAAGCAATGGCAAGCGACTTCCAAAAACCTTGCCACAGATCTTTACATCATTTGCAAGTGGTCACTATCTCTAGGGAGATAATTCGCTTAATACATTTCTAATGTTTAATTTTGCTACAATTAAGGCCTTTTTCTTCTCTTCATTAGGAAAAATAAACATAGTCGAATTGATAAGACAAATATTTGGTTTATTTCAGCATTAAAAAAAAAGAGCCGTGGTGCCACAGTGGTTAGAATAGACTACTGTAGGGTTAACTCACTGCTCACTCCAGGAGTTTGATTCTGAGTGGCTCAAGGTTGACTCATCCTTCCATCCTTCTGAGGTCAGTAAAATGAGGACCCAGATTCTTGGGGCAATATGCTGACTCTGTAAACTGCTTAGAGAGGGGGTGTAAAACACTATGAAGTGGCATATCAGTCTAAGTGCTATTGCTATCAAAGAAATGTCGGTTAACTAACAGGGATAAATTTCCAATGCATTTACAATGAGAGACAGGGAGATAAACAGAAAAAGAAAGAGTAGAATATTTCCTTTACTTCTGAATTATTTTTATATTCATACTCTAATGTAGAGAATTTTTAAAGAAAGGGAATATATATTTTCTCTCAAAGAAACATTTATGCTTATTTGGAGACCAATAGTAAATGCATTCAGATACCATTTTTTGAAGGGAAAATACATTTCTTTATATATAATTTGGGGGTAAAGTTGTTATTGGAGTGAAAATATTTTCATAGTAGTTTTCAAAAGGTAATAATATTAGTCTTCAAAATACTTTTATTATTGGATGGATGAATTGATTGACATACTATAAGTATTATTTGTAGGAGGGCAAATAGACAATACAGTGATAGTCCATTAGATGATAGATACATGAAAGATGATGATGATAGATAGATAGATGATAGATAGATAGATAGATAGATAGATAGATAGATAGATAGATAATCTATCTCTATCTACAGTATCTGTCTGTCTATCTATCTATCTATCTATCTATCTATCTATCTATCCATCTATGATCTATCTGATACAGATAGAGATACAGATAGAAATACAGAGAAACAGACAGACAGAGAGAAAAAGATAGAGTGATAGACAGATAGGGATAGATAATTGTGAAGAACATTAGGCTGAATTGATATATATCATACATCACAGTTTCAGCAGAGTGTATTTTAACAAGATATATAATGCTTATTTTAGAGTCATGACTCCAATGTATCAACAGATCCTGGCTTTAGAATTTGCCATCATGGAGATCAATAGACATCCCTCTATTTTACCAAACCATACCTTGGGCTTCCATATTTATAATACCTATTTTGATCCAAGTTGGACATACCGTGCCTCATTGGAACTCTTCTTTACAAATTCATACCTAACTACAACTGTGAGACTCAAAACAGACCAATAGCAGTCATTGGAGGATCTGCCTCTGACATCTATCTAAACATGTCTAACATCCTTTCCCTGTTCAAGATGCCACAGGTATATTATTTCCAGTGATATCAGTGAAACAATCTCTACAGAATTGTTCATGAGAGAAAAATGTTGTGATTGGGGCTACATTTTTTAAAAATGTAGGGTTCTGAAGACTGTGAGTGAATTGTCCAGTAGTTTGATTATGCCATAGGGTCTTGATTCTTATCTTTTTGACATTTCAATGGGCTAGAATATTAATGGGGGTACTATATCTTGTTGATTGAAAGCTCTGTGGTTCAGCAGTTCGAATTATTAAATGTTTTGGCCCAAAAACAAATTTAAAACTCCCAATTTATGAGAAAGATTAAAAGCAATTTTAAAAATTTAAAAGAGAGAGTTAGGCCAGGCCAGCCTGCTGGAATAAAAATGTTTTGAGAGCATGACAAAAAGTGCACAGATCCGGGATCCTCCGTATCTCCGGGAGGAGCTCGTTCCAGATGGTAGGTGCCTCCACAGAGAAGGCTCTCCCCCTGGGGGCTGCCAGTCGACACTGTTTGGCCGAAGGCACCCTGAGAAGCCCCTCTATATGGGAGCGTACTAGTCGGTGAGAGGCTATTGGTGGCAGAAGGCGGTCTCAGATACCCCGGTCTGATGCCATGGAGTGCTCTAAAGGTG